ATCTGCTTTTTAGGTTTTTCCTTGGACTCTTTTTTCTTCTATTTGTTTGTTTGTTTGTTTTAAACTATCCTGGTTCATTGTTTTTCTTTTATGCAATTTTATTATTGTTTTTAGATGTTTATATGTTTTACAATGAAAGAGAAAGAAGGAATGTATGTATTTGTGTGTGGGAGAGGTAGGAAAGGATCTGGGAAGAGTTGAGAAAGGGGAAACCATAATCATAATATTTTATATGAAAAATATTTTCAGTAGCTAAAAAGATTTTAAAAAGTTAATTCATCACTAGTGTATAAAATTACTAGTATTTTTACATCAACCAGTGCTTCAAAATAAAATATCAAAAATGTTATTGGATTACAAAGACAAATTTCAAAAAAATAACATAAAAATAATTAATAATGCAGATCCAAACAACTTATACATAAAAGTTCTCAGCAAATTTATTTAAGATACTAAAAATAATTATACAAATAGGGGGGAGAAAAAGAAAAAAAAAGGAGAAAATGAACTCTCCACCAAAAATAAAAAAAGCCTCACTAAAACAAAAAAACTAATATAAGACATGATTCCAGTTATTTAAAATGTAAATTAATTTCTAATGATACAACTTAACTTGAAATTATCCCATCTACATTTTGCCTCTGGACTTTTTTCTTTTCTTCTGTATATCTTACTTTTATTCTTACTCCACTGCTGGCTGTGTGACTGTGTGGCTGGCCCCTAGCATCCTCCACTCCATGTTCTCATGATGTTTCTTTTTTCATCTTCCATATTTTTCCTTCTATTTATTCTCTCTGCCTGCCAGCCCTGCCTATTCTTTCTCCTACCTCACTGTTGGCAGTTCAGCTCTTTAGTAGACCATCGTGTGTTCTAGAGAGGCAGAGTAACACAGCTTCACAGAGTTAAACAAATGCAACATAAAAGAATGCAATAAATCTTTGCATCGTGTCCCACAAGCATATGTCCCACAGCATAAACAAATGTAGCACATCTTAAAATAATATTTTACAATAGGATGTAAGAAAGTTGACATATGAAGAAGGGTGGGAGAGAGGAAGCAAATAAGGTTTTGAGGAACTTCTGCTCATATGCCCACTATTCTTGTTATACACATAGTTGTTTTATGTGTAAACATAATAAAAAATTTAAAATCATGCAATTTAAAATTGCTGAGATTAAAAATATGTTGTTATATAAATTATGTCTGCATGAAATTGTAAACTTAAATTGTCTTAATTTTGCTATGAAATAAATATGTAACTTAGAAGTTATTTTAATAGTGCAAATAAACAAGAAAATATTGAAATAAATGAAGCCTCAGTTATTATTCTTTGACAATATTTCGAACCAGTAAAATTCTATATTCTTTCTCAGAATGAAATATAGAGAAATAAATTTAAAATATTGCCTTTCAAGACTCCGTGACACTAGAGAAACTATCAAGCTTCTATTTTCCAAAAAAAATGTAATAGTTCTCATATGTTTCCTTTAGAGAAAAGACATTTCATTTCAGTTTGCTAACGGTTTCCCAAACATACCCTTTAAAACCACTTATGGATCAACTATTTTAAACAACATTAAAAGTGAAATACACTCAGAAAACAAAAAGATGAAATTACCTCATTGAAAAAAACCTTTGTCTGATTTAAATTTAACAGTGATTAAACACACCAATCATTAAATATAGTTCATGTGATAATTGTAAGGAGAGGAATTGTGGTAAGGGGTTGGCACTTCTCTGCTCTGTGGTGGCCAAAAGGGTTCTCATGGTAAGCACTTAAAATCATTCATGATCCACTGTGTTGCATTCACAGAGGTCAGGCAAAGATAACCATTAATGGCAATATTGCCTTTCCTGGTACACATTTCAAGGAGATAAAAGAGATATTGGATGTCCACTCTTCTCTTACTAAGGAGAACTATGATGAAGCAGAAACTGACTTTGAAATGCTTCCTACAGATAGCCGACAGCACAATGAAGTCCTAAAAAGGAGAAGAAATGTAATTTGTCTGTGAATGGTCTGCTTAGCATTCATTCTGATAAACTGATTTAGGTCATGGATATCTATTCCAGCTGTCTTACAGATAACTATAGATTCCTGGGAAAAGTTCTGCTACTGTATCAAAAAATTTGCTCTGATGAAAACTAACAATCTCCAGAGCCTATTTTTGACCTCACCCATGTTTTGAGCATATTTTGCAGATTCACATCTCCCATCTGACCAACAGAGAAACAGCAGATGCCATGGCTTCTGTACTCCTGATCTAGCATGCCATTGCCCCCAATCTCCTGGAACAACATTGCTGCAACCTGCCTTTCCAGATTCCTCAAGGAACAGACACCTGAGATCTCCTGCTATGTGTGCCTTGCCCTTTGTTAGTGTGAAGCAGCCTCAAGAATTCAGTGCCCTTGTTCCCCCACTTACTATCCATAGCTCACTTTTTTATAATAATCAAAATGGAGAAATGTTAGTATTCTGGCCTGACTCCCGGAAATCCACTCCTTGGAGACCCGCCCAGTGTCCTTACATATAGTCAACTTAATAAAGAGAACTGCTCCTCCCCCTTCCATTCTCATGAGGTATGCCTCTTCAACCTGGCTCCCCACCTACTCTCTCTCCCTCTTTCTTTCTGCCTCTCTATTTCCCATCTTTCTCTTCATGTCTCTATTATAATAAACATATCTCCAAGTGGACCCAATGCCTGACTATGAATGACTCGAATGTTCACATGTCACTGCCTGCCACTGCATCTGCCTGGCATGTTTCCTTGCACATGTGGAATACCCTGGCTCAGCCAGTTGGGGTCCCCTGTGCACATTATCATAAGAAATAATAAATTTGTATTTCAAGCATACATCTTACAACTGCCAGTATCCTTTTCTGAATGATTGCGGGGGTAAAATGTTTTACAAATTCTATTAGTTGAAGAAGAAACATCATAACAAAATTTCTCTCCCCTTTACAAGTGGTGGCTTGATTTTTTAACAATACCAAATAATGTATAATATATTCATATTTATATTTTTACACTGAAAACATTATAGAAATGAGAATAAAATCTATAGTGTGGACAGTATGATATATTATTTTCTATTGAAGGAAATTTGGAAATCATGACCTGTTACAAATTTTTGTATACTGGATCTTTTACATTCTAAGGTTGACCTGCTTACTACATTCCTGTGAATTCTGAGTATTTATAGATCTTGTGTCACAGACATTAGAATGGGGTACAATTTTTATCTGATTCCCTATGATGAAGCAGCGGGGATGGGCTTGGTCCTGCCTTAATTGAAAGTATCAGGCTTTATCCACTCTCCATGGGAGGCCTTACCTTTATGGAGTAGTGGATGGGGATAGGCTGGGGGGTGGAGCAGGAGGTGGGAGAATGAAGGGGGAACTGTGGTTGGTATGTAAATTGAAAAAATTTCAAATAAGTAAATAAATAAATAAAATGGGACACCAATGGGCTTGTTCTGGAATTTGGACAATGACCTCTTAAATTATGATGACTACTGTTTTGGAAATTCCAGGAGCCCTGATTACTTAGTGAATGGACCCATTCACATTCAATTGTGAACATAACATCCATCCAATAATCATCTAACTGCTACTTTCTCTGAAAATCTTGAGCTGTGCTAGTCAATATCTGTCTTTTTTTTTTTTTTTTTTTTTTTTTTTTTTTTTTTTTTTT